AGAATCGGTGCCGGTAAAGGTCCTGGCTTCACACAATCAGGCGTCCCACACCCCAAGTGTCGTACGATGTCTTGTAGCTTCTTTCTCGACCATCTTTGGAGCGCCTTCACCGTGTTGACCTTGTGCTCGATGGTTGCCAACCGGTTCCTCGTGAGTGTCATCTCTCGCTCCATCTTTCTCCAGAATTGTCGTTTCTTGCTTACGGTGGAAGAGCGGCTTCTAATTCGACTAAGGCTTGCGGCTCGTCGTGCATGAACGCCTTGAATTATGAGGCTGCAAAGTCGGCAATCGGCTTCCGGAGGCTTAGCTCGATGTCGATCGGTTGCTTGGGGACTTTCTTTTTTTTGCACAACCCCGCGATTAGGCTAAGCAAGAAAAGTCCATTTGAGTTGTCATGAATAACCCCGCGATTAGGCTAAGGAAGAAAAGTCCCTTTTTCCCACAACCCCACGATTAGGCTATGGAAGAAAACTATTCATAGTTGGTCGTGGATAGTTTCACCGACGTCGATCGGCTCTCCCTTGAATATGTAGTAGGCAAGGGCACATCTTTCGTGATTGACTTGACTAAAAAAGGTTGTCCGAATTTGCACAAATAAATGTTTACCACGCCTTGCCCGCGTAATTGATGCTTTTCCTATTGAACTCGTATGCCTTTTTATCCGGATATTCAATCCACATCGAGCGTCCATCACATAACACCTCACCGATTTGATCTTTGGTGACTTCATCTCGCATAGCTCTCCATTACCTACCAAGATTTTGGAGGTTGTAATATTCTTTGATTATGTGCATCCGCCAATCGACGTAATTATTGCGTACCACACTTCACGTGTAGTTGGGAGGTAAGAGTGCCAATGTGTTGGCGTCAAATTCCCGGAGGATCGAGATATTGTAGACGCGTTCCGGTTCACACAACTGTTGCCACCTTTGTTTGTTGATTTTGTGATTGAGGTTGGAAAAGTGTGATAGTGTGATCGTTAGGGCTCGTTTTGTGATTGCCGTCTTCGTTGTTTGTTTGTCGAATAGGGCTTCATCTCCTTCGACACTAAATGTCTCAATATCGGGTTGGGGAACCAATGTCGCCTTGGTGGATCCATTCTTTCCCTTCCCTTTGTTCGAAGTGGATGGTTAGCATGTGCGGCCTCTCTAGTTGGAATACATGATAAGAAGGATTGGAAGAGAATTGGTGACGATTGGATGCAATTTGAACCCCCAAACTTGGTTCGAGCAATTCGTCTAACACCTTGTGGGCGTGCCTTGAAGAATAAGGTTGTGGAAAAAAAATTTCCATTCTCAAGCTTCCCTGCCAATACAAACAAAAATACTATCAACTTAAGTGGTTGAGTGTGTGGGTTGTAAATGTGAAAGTGAGATTTGCAAGAAAATTTGATGAAAGATGAGGGGGAGAAGCTAGGGGTCGAGTGAAAATTTGAGAGTGGTTCTGGAATGTGGGGAGAAATCTGATTTTCTGCCCATTTAAAACGCTCAATACGCTTTCGTACGGCCGTCCCGAATTTGAACTGCGTTTCGGAAAGCCGTTTGAAAATGCGTAGGTTGGTTTTGAACTTCAGGATCGCGGACGGATGTCTAAGATTGCGATCTAAAACTCGGACGACCGTCTGAAAATGCGTGAGTTGATTCTGGGAAGTCAGGATTTCGGACGGCCGTCCGATATTGTGAACTAAAATCCGGAAGGCTGTCTCAAACTGGATCAGTTGGCTCTGACCCTCTTGAACTCGGACAACCGTCTGAGTTTGTGCTTGGATTTTCTGACGGTCGTCTGGATCCCCAGATCGCAATTTCGACCCTAAAAATTGAAAATCAATTAAAATTGTTAGAATGCATGCCTATGAAAAATCATAAAAGAAGCTTTGAAGTGTCACCCACTTTGTTACGAGGTCATTGAGTAATTTCACCCACTTTGGCATTTATTGAAGTGTTTCAATGATGGGATATAGATGTGAATTTCCTTCAACTTTTCCAAGAAGCTTTGGTATTTGGCATCGAGCTCTTTCTTTAAAAGACATCCGGCTCAAAGAAGTCATTAATTTGGTCAGGAGACTGTGATTTGTAATTCTAACAATGTATTATATTTCTTTCATTAAAGTTGTTTCCATTGAGTTTTTTCTTGGCAAGTTTTTACGAGCAGTGTCACGTTCTCAAGCTTCACATATACACTCTTTGTTTTGTCCAATGAAGTTTTACTAATAAGATTTTTTTAACTGAGGTTTATTCTATAGTTTGAACATCCAATGAGGAATGTTACAAAATATATATGATTTTTTATATATCAATTGGTGCTATAGATAGAGCACCCATTCTCTCTTTAGATTACTTTGATCTTCATATCTACTTGTCTTGTAATGTGATTTTTGAAGCTGATTGCTTGAATGCCATACTTTTCATCACTGATCAATCATCCACCAGCTTTTGGTCCGTCTCAGTTTATATTGAAGAAATCAATAAGTATTGGGCACTTTAGCCTAAATGGAAGTTCAAGTTTTATCCAAGAAGTGCTAATTTTGCGGCCCATCATCTCGCTACATGGGCTTTTTCACGTGCATTGATTGGTTTTATTGATGTCAATTCTATCCCTTTAGGCACCGTTTGGTTGACAAGATAAGATTAGCCAAGATAAGATTAAATAATCTAATGAGACCCAATTATTTTATTGGAGCTTGAAACGTCCAACAAAAAAAAAACTCATTAGAAGACAAGATAAGCCAAGATAATGCAAAATAAGCCATGATTATATAATTTTGGTGGGTCGACCCGGCAATTTATTGAGGATACCAAACATCAAATTAAGTCAAACTATTTAGTTAATCATGGCTTATCTTGGCAACCAAACGGGGCCTTAGTGTGTTTTTGTGACGGGTTACTGATTGTAGACTCTTTCCATTCGTATTATTAATTTGAAATTTCAATTATAAAAAAAAATAGAGAAATTTAAATGACAAAAAAAAGGGGGTTTTTGTGCACAAGTCCCTAACCAAACATATTTATTATTCTAGGTTTAAGGGCTATATCTCTTTCATCAATAAGCCCTTCCCTTTAATATTTATTATAAATAAATGAAACATTCATGTATATGACAATATTACCCCCAACCCTTTATACCCAATTCTTAATTTTAACCCCAATTTAATCAATTTGTCCACAAAATCCATTTTGACCACAAAAATCCAATTTTGACTTTTTTTTGGGGCATACTTTAATATGCTCCAATTTCATCCTTAACTTAATTTGGCCGGGTCTGACTGGGAGGAGATGGGGTTCTCGCTGAGTCGCGGAGAACTGCGCAGCATGAAGGAATGGGTGGTGGCTGCTGCGGCTAATGCATTGAAATGCGAGGAGCGGTTGGGTGTGGAGAAAGTGAAAATTGGAGTGGAGAAAGCAGGGAGGTGTATTGTGAATAGTATTGGGTTGATTGAGGGGAGGCAGACAATTGTCATTGATTTTTACAATCCTTTTGGTGTTGATGAGTTTTATGGGTATTATTATTATTATAATTATCGAGACTTTGTGATATACCTAATTGAGCCGACCTAATGGGCTTCCTAATTTGTCTTATAATTGGGCCCACTATACAAAAGTTCAGTCACCTTCAAAATAAGGCTTGAGCCCAATTAAGTAAACTCAACCCAAACGACATATAAATAGAGGTTTTTACTCATTTGTTAAGGTACGTTCTATTTATTCACGAGTAAGCTAGAATTTTATCTCTCTACCATTTTCCACGATTTGTACATCTGACTTGAGCGTCAGATGGGTTTCCGCCGGATCAACCCCCGGCTTAGTTCACGTGTGCTCATTTCGCAAGGACCTCAGGATCATCAAGTTGTCAAGCTACTGATCCGCTTTGCTCTCCCAGCTCGTTTTCTACACTACCCCAGGTGATCTAAGTAATTAACATCATCATTTTGGCGCCGTCTGTAGGAAAGATGCAAACCAGATCACGTAGCCAACAAGATCCTCCTGAGGCATCCGCTCGGAGAGAGAATGACACAGCTAACAACCTCCCAATCCGTGGAGGCTCTGGCTTGCCACCTCCTCCGCGTGCTCCGGATTCGCCTCGCGAGGTTCATGTGATCCCCCCTCGGGACCTATCACTACGGGATAAATTGAGTTATTCACGGAGTAACGTAATAATACTGTCTATTATTGTAATATTATTGTAAACACAATAATATTACTGTGGTTGACAATAATATTACTATTGTTATAGATTGCTGTCAACCACATCAATATTATTATTTGTTTGGATTTTTTTTTTTGTTTGAGTTATTCACGGAGTAACGTAATAATATTACTGTCTATTATTGTAATATTACTGTGGTTGACGGTAATATTACTGTTGTTATAGTAATTTTACTGTCACTCACAGTAATATTAATTCTTTTGGCTTTTTATTATGTTTACATTTGTTGAACGGTCAACATAGTAATATTACTCTATTACACAATAATAATGAGTTTTGTTGTGTTAATATTACTGTGCTAGAGATTAATATAGCAATATTATTGTGTTAAACTGTAGTATAGTTAATTTTATAGTGTTTAACAATAATATAGTTAATATTACTGTCAATCGCAGCAATATTGTTGTTTAAACGAAAAAAAAATGTTACAGAAAGAGAGAAAAAAATTGAAAAAGTCAACGTCGGAAACCGGTGGTTGAAAAATCAGGAGGAAAGTCAATGTTGGAGACCGGCGAAAAAATCCGCAAGGAAAAAAAAAAAAAGTCAATGGCGGTAACGGACGAATTTGTCCATAAAAAATGTGTTTTTGGTCAAAATTGAATAATTTGTGAAATTTGGGATCAAATTGAGGTTAATTTAAATTAAGGATGAAATTGGAGCATATTAAAGTATGAGGGGCTATTTTAGTCTTTTACAAAAATTTGGACCAGGTATGGACTTATTTGGAAAGGAGTTTATTGTGTGTATTTTTTATGAATAAATTTCATTTCTAGACTAACTTGTAAAGAAAAAAAAATAGTGAAAGGAGAAGGTGGGATCCGTAATCTTATCGGAAGAATTCGACCAAGTCGTTGAGCTTGATTTCTGAAATTATCCGACTTTCACCTTTAATTTCAAGTTCCCATCTGAATTTCTGGAATTATCCCTTTGAACAAGGAAGAAGTAGAGTTCCAATGGGAAGCCTAATTCGCAATATCCCGACCCTAATCTTCATCCGTAAATTTGCAAAGATTGAGTTGCCAACCAGCCGCCGCCATTGGAGAAATGGCGTTAGGTTTTCCAAACTCCGTACAATTTTTTCTTACTCGGCGAGCAGCGGCAGCGGCAGCGGCAGCGGCAGCGGTGAAGATTCCGTTCAAGAACTCACGGTTCCTACCCATTGGTTACAGCCTTCCAGAGCATCACAGGTAATTCATTTTTTTGTTTTTTTTTGTTCTTAAACTCAAATGAAATATATGTTAGCAAGTAACTGAATATATTTGTTTAGGGGAACATCAGAGATGATTGAAGTTTAACCCAACAAAATATGAAGCAGAGTGATGGAAGTATGTTCTTATCAGAAAACACTTTTACGATTTTTAAATATAAAAAAATTCTAATATTAGATACAAATTTAGTGGTGTTTGAATAGATGCTTGTGGTTAAGAAAATGAGGTGTAGAATGCTTCGAATGGATATATTCCTTAAAAAAAATTAATTATCCAAATTTAAATAAGAAAAAAAAAATGAATAGTTACGAAATTTTAGTAAAAGATTTCACTTTAACCAACAAAATCTCGTACCAAATATGGCCATACCATCAACATATAAACAAATAGTCATACAGTCAACCATAAAAAACAAGTTGTTTTATAAACTCATCTATTCAATTCAACACAAGTAAAACAATCATACAATATAATAAACTGATGAAATTTTTCATCCCACTGTTTAGGTGCTTGTTTTAAAATATTATGGATTGAAGCCAAAGCAATCAGAAGTCGAATATTAGAAATTCTTGTATTTTCTTTGTATTTGAGTTTTTTCTAATTTCAAAGGAAAAATGTGTTAATGGAATTTCATTAAACATTGAACATGCAGTTATCTGACGACATACGACTATTGTTCTCTTTTTTATTGGAAGGGTTAAAATATTTTAGGTCAGACTGATAACCTTTCTCTAATTTATATGCTGTCTAACCAGTTTTTTTATAAGGTGTAAAATGACTTCACCCCAAAATAGCTTTCTCATTATTATAATCTTGTCGGATTAAAATGACACCTAGCTCCAACCTTTCTCTGTTAAGGAATAGCTTTACATATGGTACGACATAGTAAATATTTTTGAAATAATTACTCTTCATAATTTATGCAAACCATTCCGTTAGCAGAAGAAGTAACGTGTTGACGTCGCAGATGACTCTATTACTGTTGTGCTAAGTCCTGGTTCCTTACTGCTACCAGTGACCTAGCATCGTAATTACATTTTAACCCTGTGACAGTAGATTTTCAACCATTATCGTGATTTTTTTCAGTGTTGGTATTTATTTTCATGTGAATGTAATTTTCCTACAAGTACTTGATATAGTAAACTTGGCAGCTTCTGTAAAGGTTTTAGTTTAGGACAATTTGGTAACACTCAATTTCAAGATTGTGTATGCATGCATGCAGGAGTCAGAATGGCTTAGAGTGACACTTCATAAATGGTTGGACGACGAGTATTGCCCCGAGCCCACTAATATAGAAATAAGCAAAATTGCTGCCGACTCTTTCTACAAATCACTGATGGAAAAGAGAGCTGATTTGGGAGATATTTTAATAAAAATGGCGGTAGAATTGGAATCAATATCCTACCAAGAAAGCTTTCATGGAGCATTCTCCTCAGCAAATGCCGCTGTGACTCTTATTACTCAACGGATATTGCTCGAGTAATTAATTGCTCAACACAACCTGCAGTTGTTTTCGTCATTTTCTTTTTCTTGTATATTATCAAATGTGACGGTATAATTTTGTCAGGAAGGTAATGAATTTCAGAAACGAGTGCATGATGTTTACTTCTGTTTATATGTGTGCCTTCGGTTTGTGTTTTTTTATCACTCGTTTCAAAATGCTATCGAGTATATCAGAAAACAATCTCGTCTAACTTAAAATTGATGGATTCAAATTTTTTGATAGTCTTATATATAAGCCAAAACAGCTAAAACAGCTAAAATGTAGCGCATATAATAACCTATTTGGTCAAAATCGCACATGAACAACAGTAAAATTAAATTCTATTATGGGGCATTCCGAGAATTGAACTCGGGACCTCTCGCACCCTAAGCGAGAATCATACCACTAGACCAAATGCCCTTTTTGATACAAATTGTTTTCATTTCTACTCTAAGCTATTATCAATTGTTGCAACCGAGATATTTGGCGCTGAAATCCCTGTTGATTAGGAATCGAAACAAAAACGAATATGTATAACAAACACTAGTCAACTGATTTGCCTTGTGATTGGATTGAAAGGATAAATGGGGTTTATTATTCATAGGGCATTGTTTCTGAGTTGCAGTACGATATAATTCATTTGTTGAGAAACCCTTTCACTTTTCTGAAACTGAAATGCTAATTACAGCTGTACTCTTAATGAAATTGACTTAAACGTAGCAATACTCTAATTTCTAACTTTTCAAACCTTCTAAAAAAGTCGAAACTCTCTCAACTCTGAAATCGTGGAATTTGAAGCTCGTTTCACAAATTTGCTACCGAACAACAACAACAATTTCAATGGCCGATCTAAATTACGATTACGAGGTCAAACGAGCACAAAGCAAAATAAATAAAATATTAAGGGGGTTTCGTTATTTGTAACACGAAACCTAAAAAAGCCGAAAAAGGGGGGTTCCGTGCTACAAAACACAAAACCTAAAAAAAGAATGTTTCATTCAACCTATGGTTTCGTTCTGTAAAGCACAAAATTCCTCGTGTTGTGCTGTGTAGCAAGAAACACACGTCTCTAATTTTTTATTTTTTATTTATTATTTTTTATTTTGATGCAAACATCGTGTTTCAATTAATAACCCTCCTTGTGCAATGCACGATATATACAAGGGAGGACCCAAGGTCATTTGTTTGGGGGCGAGAGTTCGGGAATAAATAAACTGCGGATTTACTGGGGTTTAGGTGCAGAGCCCATATTTTTTTGGGAGTATCTTGGTTAAGCAGCAATAACTAAATATTTTTTTAAATAATATGACTTTATATCATTATTTAAACTACCTAAACTTAGAAATCATGTATTATAAGAGGGTAATTTATTTTCTAGGGGCCGAATATACTAGTCTAAAAATATGTAAGTGAAAATCAATAAAGAATAGGCAAAAAACAAATCTGCAGGGGCGGCTGCGCCCCATAAGACAATGCTTGGGTCCTGATATATATTTTTGATTAGTAATTGTATTAAATTATGTGCATCCAAATTATAAACATTAGAAAAGACGAAAAAATTATGTGCATGCATATTATAAATTAAAAAAAATTGAACACATCGTACAAAAATGATGGAAAAATTAACACTCAATTTCAAAAACCGAGAGGAAATGGGAACCACAAACTTCTGGTAGAGGGAATGTTGTAATTAAATATCTAACTGTCAAGTACAGAAAAGAAAAATTCAATTTAATAGAAAATTAGATTATAAGAAAAATTGGAGAGAGAAAAAAAAAGTATATTGAGATAAGCGCAATCCGAGCATAAGTTACTTGGGAAATAGCTCCACTAACTTCTGTCACAACAGAAACTCACAATATACATATAATTATATCAATGTATTGCATATGTATGAACTTAGCAAATAAGAAAAAGTACCACCGGCATCACAAGACGGCTTCAAGACACCAACCAACTTCGTATAATGTAATTACTAATTATTCAAATGAATCACCTTCAATAGCGACAAAGTATGTAAATTTTAATAAAATATAAAGCGGACGTACCATTAAATTATACATCGACATAGGAAGACAGATTCCCAACTGACTGCAACGACATCAAATAATATAGAGAGAAAATTAAATCCAAGATAAGATGGAAAATAATAGAGAAAATAGAGAAAAAATATTAAAAAAAAAAGAGAAAGAAAAACATTATCGAACATATTTCTTGGTTGCTTCTCCAAACCCCTAAGTTAAGTATCATATCCTCAAAAATCAGCAAGCCAAAAAATACAAATAACACATACATAAAAATTCTAAAAACAAGTTTGCTTCAAGCAGCAACAACAAATTGAAACCAAAATGGAGCGTTTTTTTTGCCTCAAAACATAATAAATAGAGGTCAAATCAAGAGAGAAGAAGAAAATATACCAAACAACAAAATATATTGTTTGGATTGGTCAAATGTAGGACATGAAAATGTTTTTTTGTTTACAAATAGACAAAGGAAGCACCTCAAACAATTTCTTAGCATGCGAACATAAGTAATGTCCACAAAGTGATTTCTTAATCAATTTCATATATTTAGCCACATGGAATAAATTTCATCAATTAAAGTATTGAAACATGTCCACTGAATAGTACACATTATAAATAATAAAGGGGAAATATGCAATACACCCCTTATTTAGAAAATATTTTGAACTAAACCCTATTGAATTTAAAGACTTTTCCCATAACCCACATTTCAATCTAAATTAGTGAGAACCCCCTTACCAGCCATGATAAGACTAAAGTGCCCCTATGTGTTAGGTTTTTAATATAATACAATTTTATTTCTCCCTCAAATTCATTCTCTCGTTTCTCGCTCTCTCTCTTTTTCTCTCTGTTCACAGTTTTTTCTTTCTTTTTTTTTTTTTTTTTTTTTCTTTTTCCTTCTTCTTCACATATGTACACTGCCACCGCCGGAGTCACCCTTCAAACGCCGCCGGCCGTTACCCTCTGAGCATAGGAAGGTGGCATAAGGAGCGGAGGACGGCGAGGTATTCATTCATCTGGCGGCGGCGATTCCTCTCCACCGTAATATGAGTCATCATCTACTTCTCCATCTCCTCCTTGTTCTTGAAGTTCTTTGTTCGCCGCCGCCTCCGCCGTCTCGAACCCGCCGGCGAGTGCACACCTCCGGCGAAGAATCCGTCTCCGGCGGGACCGACGCAAGTATCCGACGAAGAAGTGGTGGTCGGAGCGACCGAATAAGGCGGCGGAGGATCCCAATTATAGTACCCATTATTCGAACCCCGCTCTCCATAACCCATATTATTGTAGTTGCAATCTTTTTCGCCATAGATGGAAGTAGTGTCGTCTTGCTGTTTAATCACAACCTCTGTAGCCATTTTCTCTCTCACACACACACAGAGCACTTTTTTTCTTACAGGAGAGAGATAGATAGAGAGAGAGAGAGAGAAAGAGAGGAGAGAGAGATAGAGAGAGAGCTACACGTAAAGGAGAACATAGGTGAAGAAGCTAAGCAGCTCTGCTTTGGTACCTTTTAAAAAGGGTTCAGCTTAAAAACCAAAACATTACGTACAGTCACATATATCTACAGCATCTCACACGTGAGGCTGTGTTACTTATCTCTAGTGATTCTAGAGAAAGAGAGAGAGAGAGGGGGGTGTTTAATTCCCGTGTATTTTGACTGGTAATAATTGGCGGCGGACACCACCACATCGACGCCTGGTACAATTGGCGGCGGCGCCTCCCCCACCTTGTCGCTGTCTCCGTCGGATTTCTACATGGAAAACCCACTGAATTACGAGATTAGTCGGTTGTAGTGCAATGTATTTTACAGAGTAGTCACATTTGACAGAGTAGTCATGTTTAACAACTTAGTTATATTTGTCTTTTTTTTTTGTAGTGCTGCATATGTTCAACAGTGTAGTCATATTTAATAAAGAAGATCAAACGGAAGATTAAGTGCAGTCGGTGCAACCGAGTTGGATACCGCAACAAAAAAACATGTTCGATGGCCATTGTTGAAGGATCACATTAGTTATTTTTGTTTTTTTGTAGTCATTTTTTTTCTTTTTGCAATGTATTTTGCTGTTAATATTGGAAGTTTTTTCAAGTGCTGATTACTTGTAGTCACATTACGCAGAACCTAGTCACATAATAGTCATATTCCCACTGTCATGTTCAGTCTGTTATACAAACTGTAGTCACATAATAGTCATATTCATGCTTCTACTGTCTGATAATTATAATGTTTTACAAAGCACAGTCACATTCACATAATAGTCATATTCTTACTGTTAATCATGTTCAGTCTGTTATACAAAATGTAGTCACATAATAGTCATATTCATGCTTCTACTATCTGTTAATTATAATGTTTTACAAAACACAGTCACATTCACATAATTGTCATATTCTTACTGTTATATTAATAGTTATGCTTCTACAATATGTTAATTACACTGTTATACACAGCGTAGTCACATAATAGCCATATTCAACTGTAGTCATATTCGGAGTTGTAAATCTGTCGAGAAAAAAAAAATCAATTTTTTGTTTAAAAAAAAAATTATTAAAAAAATATTAAAAAATAAAAAAATATTAAAAAATAAAAAAATAATAGAAAAATAATTAAAAAAATCCGAAAATAATACAAAATAAAAAAAAATAAAAAAAAATCTTATTTTTTGATTTGGTAGCAAATTTTTAGAAATTTGGAAGTAGATTTTTAGGAATTAGATTATTGTTATGGAAAGAGAGAAAAAAGGAATAATTGAGACTAATTATGCTAATTGAAAAAAGGAAAAAATGGTAGAATTGGAAATACAAATTCTAGGGGTTATCACAAAGAAAGATTTAAGGGTTTGACATATCACCATTTATTATCCATATGAGGGGTTTATTGCTAATGACCCCAATAATAAAAGTGTAAAAAAATAAATGATAAGAATCAAATATATAAATAATCAGTACTTAATATCATTTGAAACACTGTATATTCACTGCAATAAAAAAAATCAAGATGGACAAAACTCATGTCTCCTAATACGACACCCGTCAAATTCAATAGGGAGAGAAAAATCTGAACAGAGATATACAAAGGATTGATTGTATAGATTGTTGGTCCAAATGTAAGGTTCTGGA